ATCTTACACGGTGATTAATTTATCGATGGTAAGCAATGAACATTGTATGAATAATATCCAAATATGTTTAAGAAAATATTAAACTTGTCAATAACTTAATAATGATTGGTATATGAATAAAAATACTAGATATGTATAATAAGGTAATTTTAGTTGGTGATATTTTTAACTTTTAATACAAAGAAAGCACAAAAATTAAATTCTTTTTTTTTTTTTTAAGGTAAATAATAAATTCTTTTATCTATGCTTAAAACATGCAATGGACTTTCAAAAAACTAGTCCAGTTAAAAAAATTGTATTACTCGGTTCTCCCTGCACCTAACTACATATTACCGCGAAGTTGACCCTCGAGGCATAGCCCAATGGTGTAAAGGACGAGAGTGAGGTTATCTCACGTCTTACTGGTAGCCACAGTATGAGGGTTCGATTCCTAGGACATGAAATTAAACTCATTGTAAGCGTATGTACATGCAGTTCTTGTTCTCTGACCTGTTGTGACACATCTCGCGATTTACCTCATTTACAAAGATCTAGAGGCGGGGCGGTGAGGACCCTCAAAGTTGGGGTTCAACCTTTTTATTTTTTATTTTTTACCGCGAAGCTGGTTTTTTAATTGCAATGTTTATGTTGCCTTATTTTTATTAATTCTTGTCTGATTTTCTCTCACTCATATAACATTTTCTCATCATTTCTATTAGGGGACTTTTTGTTATATCAATATCATACAAGGTGAGAACATGACAATTCCCAAGCTATAAAATTTAAGTCGAGCTAACCACATTCGATAATCATGAAGTTTTTGACCCTAACGGGTAATGTTTTTTTGTTTTGAGGTCGAGCCCTATCATTGTTAAAACATAAAAATTAAATAAGCAAAAATTTCATTTTTAAAAAAAAAAAAAAAAAAAAAAAAAAAAAAAAAAAAAAAAAATGCCAACCTAGTCCATAACCTTGTCGACGAACAATCGCCGACTCCATCCTGTTTATGTTCCATATAAGAGCGTTCGTGATTTGGAAAAAAGAATTAAAGTATTCATCCTTGTCCATCTTATTTCTCTGCTCAATTTATGTTCCAAACCTTCTGACTTGGGATTCACCTCCACAAAATGTCAGATAAGGTTTAAGCCATGCGTTATTTTTAATTGTATGAATTAGTTACTATATATAAGTAATTGTAGTACCCCTGATTTTGAGAATTATGTTTGGTGAAAGTTTGAAAAATTATGATGAAGTTTTTAAAAACTTATACGGTATGTGTTATTTGTTTATTTATTTATTAGTTTAGAAAAATTAAAATA